ATGTTATTCCTAATTCCTTCATTCATTATTTTTATGTATGTATATGTGATTTTTTTAAAATTATAACCCTAAGTCTGTTGTCATACTGCAAAAGATGCAATCACGCACACTTTGAATCTTATGTATATTTAACTAACTCCATTCTATAAAAGTTATAGTATTCCAAAATTTTGGTTCATAATAGTAGTATGTCGTTCTTCTTTTGTCTCCACTAGTCTATACAAACGGTATCAGCAATCTGACACATACTTTCTCCCATTAGCTTGTCAACAACCTGTACCATGGGTAAGCGGTGGGAGTTACTCAGGTAATTATATAAGGAAAATCACGAAGGTTGCAATAACGTTTAACCCGTATTTTTTATAACAATAGGAGATTGCAGTATTTTATTTAGAATTATAGGGACCATAACATACTTATTTTAATCAAAAACGGGTTTTCGAAAATCTTACTTTACGGGTTTTATGGGGAAATAACATAAGTTAAAATAACTTTAGACCCATAATTCATACAAAAATGACAGTTATACCATTTTGTTCAAAATTTAAGGGGCTATTACATACTAAAGTTTCATCGATAGTGGTATCGTGGTGGTTAAAGGCTTTTGATAGTGTGTCACACTCAAGTTGCTGAAGGGCTACTCCTGGAATATCGTATGATTGTGTTAGTGTTTAGTTTAAACACGTTAGTATTTTCAAGGAAATTCTGTATCATTGTTAAGTGTTAAAGTTACTAAGAACGTGGGTGCATATTAAATTCAATAAATGGTATTATGATAATAGTAATTTTAAAATGCCTTTTTCGCAGCAAACCTGCAGACTAAGAATATTCCCATTTGATTGATTGGATTTTCACTAAAACATTTCTTTAAAATGTTATATTTATTCCCTATTTAAATAACATTAGTTTAACACTTAGTATAATGTTCAAACTAGTGATGTATTTTTTTAAAGATTATAATCCATTCCTTTCCTTGCTAATATGTGTGATTAACGGTTACAATAACTCTAAAATCTGTTCCCTTACTGTATTTATATAAACTGATGATCTTGCCTTTGTTTATGTATCCAATAATGCTTCCATAAAGATTACATTGAAACCTTGAGACCCAGTGGGGCGGATCCCTGAGGAAGTTGTTAACGCCATTGATTTTGGGACTAACTTACCGATATGGTCCTTATGACCAAGCAAAAATTGAAGATGATTGTTTCAGTTGTCCATGGTTTGCGTACGAAGAAATGCATAATAGTCGACGTATTACAGCTTCGCTCGCTCCGCAAAATTAATTGATGTTACAGCAAAATATGCTATTGTCCACCAAAATTAGATCCTTCAGTCTTGCTTTAATTAGTGGTAGTTGATGTTTACGACAGAAGTTAATTCGATATCATTTCACTCAGGGCCGCTTTCCCCAAATCAAGTTTAACTCTGATCGCGGTTTAAACTCTAGTTTAACCTCAGATTCACTTTCCCCAAAATAATTTCTCCGTTTAAGCTAGGTTTAAGTTAACCCTAGGGGTGAGGCTGGTTTAACTGGCGATCCGTGGGTTAACCCAGGAGAGAAGAATAATAGCTTGATTTTGATTGGCTCTTGGCTGACTTGTTACGTTCGGCAAACGGCATTGGCAAATATCCTTGTTTGACATTTGTTAAACATAACCATAGATAAAACATACTCCCTTAGACATAACCTAAAATAAATTGAACTGGGAAATAGCAAACCAGAACCTATGTAGACAATTAATTCGTGACTATTTCAAATTTAAAGATATAAGGCTACAGATATACAGTAATGATTTTAAGGTTTTTAAATGCGTAGAGTAGGCCTAAATTATTATATTTTCGGTAGGTAGTATCGTAGTTGTGTGCAATCGATAGGTTACCTTGTCCACAGCAACGCAACAGTGGTTGGAAAGTTTGCTCATAAGAAGCCTTTTGGTTTGATTTTATTTTAACACGAGTCTTACATTACACAAAAGTAAATATTAAACATTCGGGCCCAACCACTAGTCTATTATTATCATGTGTAAATTAACAACTACTGTAGTACGCCTAAAATTAAATTTAGTTTAGAAAAATCGAACGTGTCTAATGCTGAGTAACCTAGGCCTGCCATTACAAAGGATAGGCTCTAGTTTTTAATCCACAAACATTAATTTTGCGTCTTTCCCAACATTTTATTTTCCCATGATTGTAAATGCTTTTATTTGATGCGTACATTAGGCCTACTGTTTAATTAAGTTTGAGCTTAAATAAACACAAGAAATGAAATGCTTATATAATAGCAGTCGCCTGCAAATAAAAATGTTTCTTTTTAATGTCAACAATTGGAGACCATGACACGAAACCTAATACAAATAACCAAAACACGAGAAAATTAATGACAGATATGTCATAGTGGGAAGTTAAACAGCTAATATTGCAGACAAAATTGTATAACAGTGTTGCCAACATTGTTGCTTGCAAAGAAAAGCTAGGTTAAACTAAACTGCCATGACAAAATAGTGGGGAAAGCCATCCTAAGTTTAACCCACCGATTAAAGTTAACCGAGATTAAGTTAAACTTGATTTGGGGAAAGCGGCCCCTATTTTTATGTTATACAGTATATAGCTGCAGATTTAATTACCAAATGTAATATTTACTTCTTTTTATGGAGTCTGTATGAACAAAGATTACAATTCTTGAATGTACTGTGTAAATCACTTTTGTTCTAGCATAAGTTACATTTAAATTCAAATTTCCTTGACAAGAGACTAAGGATGCTCCTTGAATTAAATTCAGCACAGAACAGCACGGACGTAGAACTAAACGTTATTTAATGGACAAAATTCACCGTGGATGAAACGGCAGTATCAAATGAGATATCTAAAAATAAGCACCCTTCCGCCTGTGGACAACATTAGTCAACGAGAATAACGAAATCTTGCCCATTAGTGAACACATTTGTCTCTCCGTGTAACTTAGGCTAAATTAAAATGTCCAAAACACAAGTAAGGTACTTAATAAAGCGAATTTAATATGGGAATTACCCTAGGAGTTAAGCTAATTAAACTTACTTTAATGATATATTAGAAAGATAAAATCATGAGTAAAAGATTAAATCAGTCTCCGGAGCAATGCTAAATATTTTAGACATTGTTATTATTACTCTTCCTTAATTTGGTTTTGTGCATTTTTTACCCTCAAAACATGAGAATGCACGGGTTTTATTGCCAACTTTGTGTGTACAAACATATATTATTGTATGTTAAAGCGCTGTTGGTTACAGAGGAAATTAAAAAAGTACGTATGAAAATGTCAAAGTTATTATTTTAAAGTATCTATAAACAGCAAGTAATAAGCTTGTTGTATATTTTGTTTTTGTTTATGGATATCTTTAGACCAACTTTATTTGTTTTACCCTAAAATGACACAAAACACGTTTTTCTTATATGTAGCAGAAAAACAGGAGTTTTCGTTAAACCTAATGTTTTATATGTTTTATTATGAATAGGGAATACATTTTACTTGCTTACGAAAATCATTTTAGTTTAGATACAATCAAGCAAATGGAACATAACTTACATAGGTTTCTTGTGGTGGGGTACTATGCCCTCGCCTTCCGATTTCCACCTTTACTTTAACAAGTCTGTTCAATAATGTAGTTTGGTGATGACATAGCACCCCTAACTATTCTGGGCTCTGCAGTGTGGTTTTTAGTAGTAAGTTAAGTTGAATAGACTCCTATAATATAGTTAACCAATCGGGTACCGTACCAGGCTATGTCAGTAGCATTACTGTTGCATCGTGCTAGCAAGATAGGTGACACATGATGACATGAAGAATAGTAACAGAAGCTTGATAATATAGGATGTATTTCCATTCCAAGAATGTTGTGAGTTGTCGAGAAAATTCAATATAGAGTGTGAAGTAACATAACACGCTGTTTGCGCCGGCCGCTATGCAATACACGCAGCACATGGCTGTATCTATATTGAGAGGCACGCCGGGCCGCCGCGCCGCACCGTTCAGTAACATACAGTATGTTAACATAACATGCTGTTTGCGCCGGCCGCTATGCAATACACGCAGCACATGGTTGTATCTATATTGAGGGGCGCGCCGCGTCGCACCGTTCAGTAACATACAGTATGTTAACATAACATGCTGTTTGCGCCGGCCGCTATGCAATACACGCAGCACAGGGCTGTATCTATATTGAGGGGCGCGCCGCGCCGCACCGTTCAGTAACATACAGTATGTTAACATAACACGCTGTTTGCGCCGGCCGCTATGCAATACACGCAGCACATGGCTGTATCTATATTGAGGGGCGCGCCGCGTCGCACCGTTCAGTAACATAATGCTAAAATGGATAGCCTACTTAACATTCTTTTAGTTAGCCTAGCTCTTTTAGCTAGCTTTTAGATAGCCTTCGACATATTTGTTACAGTTGTCACGTATAATTTTTAATTATGAATAATGTTATAACACTTCTTAAACATGTTTCATCGTGTCGGTTTTTAAAATGTAAAAACATTCTAGAAAGTAATCATTGATTTTTAGGCTTGTTAAAGATACAGCTAATGGGATAGTTCATAATTATTTTTCTTGTTGAGTGTGCTACAATGGTGGATAATGGTATGTTTATGCAAAGTATCAATTCATTGTTAAAATATAAATGTTAAAAAAATTTTAAATATTAGCTGGTAAATGGGAATTTGCTAGGTTCACAGGATTGTTGTGGCGGGGCTTTTCATCTTTCTTAAAACTGTTGCTATACATTTAGAAAAAGTCCAGCCAAAATATGTAGTGATTACGACAATAGTGTTATATCTTTTTAACAACATTTCATTGTTTTCCATTTGATTTTTACCCCATAGTAACAGTTTAATTTTTTTTAAAGCAAACAATACTAAAATATATTTAAATTTAACGAAATAATAAATTGTGTAATAAATTCATAAGGTGTTAATTTTACTATTAAAATTAATTTAGATTTTGTGTTTCATGTTCCAAGAAATGGAAGTATTGCCCGAAGGAAAAAACTTCAGATTGGTCAAAGAAGACGAACTTCCAGAAATATTAGAGTTTCTTTCGCACTATCTTCCAGACTCGTTGAAGGTAAGGTTCGTACGCATGGTAACATGGTTTTTATTGACTAATACACAAAGACACACATCAATTGTGCTCTCCAGAACCGTTGACACGTTCAGCCTAATTTCTTGTTCAAATATAAAATACAAACGTTTTAGCATGATTACACTCCATTCCTTGTTTGTTGATTGTCTGTCAAATTTATATTACGATCCTGTGAAGACTACTTGTACTCAAATAGCACATCTTGCAATTTTTAAACGGTAAGAGATGGAAAGAAAACTTAAGTACGTAAATATTTGTTAAAAAAGGACCTTTCACATGATATGAATTTTGTTATACCTTGCTATTTAAGAATTTTGAGTTTTCCGCTTTCTTTTATTCTTCAAATTTGAGATTTTTTAAAATTGGAACCCTTACTATAAGTTATCTTAAAGAGTAGCTCAAGAATAGGATTGGAAAGAAATTTGGCGCTGTTCCGTTCAGTATTTAGGGTAATACGGTACTTCAAAGTCCTTTTTAAAAACGTTTTGACCCACCCTGTAAATACGGTTAAAGATAATTAAATTGTTTTTGCACCAAAATGATCGGGGTGATTAGACCTTTAAATTGATGTATCGCACAACCCACATTAGAAAATTTCTCAAAAAGCACCCCTACCCCCAAATTGGGCCCTTTTGGGGCATTTTTCAAAATTGAAAATAATTTATTGGATTTCCAAATTAGTGGGAAACGAGAAAAAACAAGTGTTAAAAGCCTTAACCTTTGCACACAACACATATGGAAAGTTTTCAAATGAACACCCTGTATATTAAATTGTATAGTTGTATACAATACTAAATATTGTTGTCGAATAAGTTACATTTTATTTTTAACCGCATAATTCATCAACATTTAGACTTTTTTTTCATTTTTTATAAAAAAAGTATCGTGTTTGTTTTCCCCAAAAATATTGTCTGGGAAATAATTATTTAGTGCATTACTGACTGAAGTATTGACTTGGATGAAATGAACTAATATTATAGACATGAATGTTTGGAGTATGTCAATAATGTGAAAACTACTTGACCAATTGAGCAGATGTGTTCCATGAATAGATCCAATATAACCACAGGCTTAATTGAGATAGTCATTTAATATGTTAATACTCTTCTAATTGTCTCCATTGTTGTTCTTCGATTTTAACCATAAATGCCCATCGAAATACCACGCAACCTGTTACGACAATCAATAGTTTTATTAATACTTATGAAGAAAACGGGGCGAAGCCCGTGGGTAACAGCCAGCACAGTATATATAGTTTTTTTTTTTTTTTTTTTTACTCAAACGATTTATTATCTCCGTTCGGTACAGATTTTTAAATCGGTTTTAAACTAACTTCCCAACGTGCTAGAGACTTGAAACTAGAAACATGTTTTTAGGTTTATCCTTCCACAAAAAGGTACAAAGTTTCTAAATTAGTTTGTTATTCTTTCCGTCAATTTTACGTCAGGAAAATGATACACAAGAGCTTAGACGTTAAATAAATACGGTGAATGATCAAGTAAAATCTATAAAATCAATTTTGAAGACGTTGTGTCACAGCGTAATTTCCTCATTATAATGCCGTATAAGAAAGGTTTGGCTTGGCAGTTTAGATCAAGTTCGTGCTGTTCCCGGTGTCGAGCACAACCAACATGCGTACTGTGTGTCCAACAACACTGGACTTTTACTATTTACCCATTAATAACAGTTTGCGGCCTAGCCGCTATTTCCGTGGTGGGCTGCAATGCACCAGAATGCCAAAACTAATTCTGTACCGTCGAGGGTTTTTTGTGAGATGTAGAATTAGGACTGCCAACCAAATTCATCTACAGCCAATCAATTTTTGTTCTAGCTGTAAGACTTAGAGTAAGTTTCCCGTTATAATGTTTCTTGTGTTTGTTTACACACCTTACGTAGCTATATAAATGTTGCTCAAAATCGAGCAACAACTGCCAAGTATTACAGTAGCAATTTAAAAATTAATAACGTTCATAATTTTGTATAAGTTTAAAAGACTCAACTCAAAGCTTGTATTTAATGGAAACTCACGCTACTCATAGCAGTTAGATGTAAATCAAAATTTCTCGTAAATATTTTATCATTTTTTTAGAACATGACCTTGTTTTTTAGTGTTTTCTACAAATATTTTCCGACTTACCCATTGCCGCAAAAGTTGTCCATGTGTATCTTCGCCATTCATAATGTAGCTTACATGGTACCACCATTATCATCAGTATCAATACACATTAAAGACATTTTTCAAAGCTATATAAATTGTACACAAGTTGTGTACAATTTATATAGCTTTTATTTATATTTATATTTTTTTTGTAATAATACACAAGTTGTACTTGAGTTACACTCAAGTACTACCCGATTTCCTGCATTATCTGTCTGTCAAAAGTAAATTTGCTTCAATTTACATCCTTTGGTTGGATGCATTAATTGCAGAATTACAAGGCCTGATGTTCTTCAGGAAGTACCTATTTTGTTTCCCCAAAGGTCGAGCGGTCCAGGCAAAGTTCCGTTACAGTCCAGTCTTAGTTGCATCCGCAATTTCTCAGTCAACCTGATAGTCATTTGGTTTCAGTCACTCTTCCGTAACTTTATTTACAGTGTTGTTACCGTCAAAAGTGTTTAATTAAAACACAATATTCCATCAAATTTTCATAGTCCGTCTTGTTTATTTTTACAAACATTTCTTAAAAAATAACTCGATCATTTAAATAAAAAATTACTATTTTCTAGACTCAAACACGTCCGTCCAAACAATCCAAAAATATCGGTGAGAAGAAATTTGAAATCGAGTGACGGACGTCGGCAGAGTGACTGACGGAACCGTGACGGATGTCCTAACACAACCTAGGAGTAGCTGTTGATCACCAGCGCTGGTTGCTCCCACCAAGAGCTCAAGCTCTGTCGATGGAGGTGGTTCCCTGGCGTCGTATGGCAGGTAAACCGAGCCTCGTGTTGTGCTCCATTCCCTGCCAGCATTTCTCCAGGTTATTGACACCGCAGTGAGATCTCTGGAGCAAAATTTGTTTAAGGTTAGAAAGTTCAAGCCTTTTCTCAAGAGAATACATGTTCTGACATTCCTTAGAAAAGCGCAGTAAACTAACTCACCCTTTGTTTCTCCCAGGCCTGCAACCCTTCCTTGGTGCAGCAATGGTTCTTGAATGAGTGCCTTTCTCCATATAGATTCCAGCAAACGCTGGACTTGAACCACCCTCTAAGGGCTGGAGTCTTTCCAGGATTGCTTCCTCAATTATTTCTCCTTGCTCGTCATTTAACTTAGCCTCAGGATAGTTTTCAGGGACAATGGCAATTTCGGTAGCGGTGATGTCCATCTAGGATGCTTCATTGGGCGTTTTACAGGTTCCCCTGCGTCTTTCACCCCCTCAGACCTCTGGGTAGAACACCTGGCCTTCTTTGGAGGTCCTTCTGCCGAGGGTGGAGTGACCGTTGCACCTCTGGGGCGCTTGGTCACCCTCGTCTCGACATTTGGACCCGCAGTTCGGCTTGGTGTTCTTACCTCATGTGGTCTTTTGGGGTTTTCTTTTTTCCCCTGCACCATTTGTCAGGGTTGAATTGTTCACCTCTTTCCAGAAGTTTTGCCTTTAAGGCCTCCCTTCTTTGTGCCATGGTGAGGTGCGGTTTCTTAAAGATTTAATTGTATGAAGAATTCCAGGAATAATGTAAATTTATTTTCAGAAAAACCAGTTAAATAATAATTTAGAAATGCCATTATTTAAAATGTTTTATAATTCAACAGCCTTCATGTGAGCATAATCCTATGATTTCTCAAAGTAACGAATAATTAGCTTTAGTTAGTTTTTAGCGAATTTCCCATATAGGGAATAAGCTATTACCGTAGTACTCATGGTAAGATCTGGACACGGGACCGATTTTTTTCCGTTTTGAGGTCCCTAGAGGCCAAAAACACCATCCGTTCAAATTCATATATATATATATATATATATATATATATTTATATTTATTTATTTATATATATATATGTGTCCATCAGCACGATAACTCGAGCAAAAATGATCCGATTTTGATGAAATTTGGTACAAACATGTAAACGTACGTTTATTCAAACGAGTTCGCGATCCAGCATGATCGGACCATTGGAACGGGGGTTTACGGGGGGTTTTATGGGGTAAAAATAGGTTTTTCCCATTTTTGACCCAAAAAACATAAAATTTAGCAATTTCTTTCAAACCATTTTGTAGAGCTTAAAAAAACAAATAATTTAGTATATAAAAGCGTTATTATGCGGCTAATGGTTACGGAGAAAATTCCAAAAAATTGTAAATTTAAAATTCCCATGTTATTCTTATGGAGAATAAGTAAACATATTTTGATCAAATTTGGAAAATGTTTTTATTTCTTACTAACTATTCACATTTTACAAAAAAAAAACAGTTTTACCCTCCCTGATGCAGCAAACCTAAGTACTTGTTAAACTAATTCTATTTAAATCAAGAATAAATGTTATATTTTTAAGTAGACATTTCAGTGTAAATCCAATCAGTCAAATGGAAATTCGCTTAGTTTGCAGGTTTGCTGCGGCGGGGGTATTCCTTGTTAGTACTATTTTTTCTTAATTGGTCCGGGGTGAATCTGGAATCATATATTCTAAAACAAGCGTGTATACGGACAAATTTATATTTTCGTCAGAGATTTTTTTTTATTTGTTTACAATGAGGTATTTGGCCACGAGAAATCGATTGGAATTGGTCACAAGACTGGGAAAATCCAGTTTCTGCCCTACAGCCCTTTAAAATGTCCATATGTTATTGTCATGCCTTTTTGTGGCTGCAGTTAATAAAAACAGCCGACACAGGTATTTATATACTAGGTGTTACCCACGGGCTTCACACTAAAAAACAAAAGTTTTTTAGTGTGGCCTTGGCTTAACCCATCGATCTCTTTTTCACCCTGTTTGACTTCATAAGTACTAGTGTACCTGTTGCTCGAATTCGAGCAATTGGGAAGCATTATAGGCAACTCACAAAGATTATGGAAATACTCACGATCTACGCAACAGTTAGATATAATCAAAATCTTTTGTAAATATCTTTTCTTTTCTCAAAAAGCTGATCTTGTTTTTTAGTGTTTCTACAAATTTTTCCCTCTCATAGCCGCATTAGGTTGTCCCGTAATTAGGTTGGAGAAGTATTTAACGATTATAAATGAAAAAAACATTATTTCTTTTCTTTTACTTGGTTGTGTTCTATGACTTTTTATATGTATCCATTGTTTGCAAATCGATTATTTCAATGATTGCTCAAGAAATGTAGCATATTGTTAATTCAGTTTTATTTATAGCCTATATCAAATTGTCCAGGATTTCTCGCTTTTTTTCCATTGTAATAATTTCACCAACCCAAGTTTCGTCTACAGATGCAATACGCCAAAGAATATCACCTACGTACAATCTCCAAGAAGTGGTAAAAAAAAGGCAGAAACCAAGCCATACAATAGATATAAGTTAACTCCATAAGAAATAATTTTAAGAGTTACTGTGGTATTAGGATTTTCCACTGATTTGGTAATAGAACATTATATTGCAAAACATGACACGATGCAGAAGAAAATCCAATTTAAAATCAGAAAACCCCATTGCAAATAGGCTACTGTACTTCATTTTGACAAATTCAATAAATCACAATTTAAATATTAACAGCTGTTTCATTAAAAAGTAGTGTAGAATTATGCATACTAGTGGTCGTCCTGTGGTCGAAACTCGACCAAAAATAATTAATGTACAGACTTCTCTATTTTCTCCCCACACTGTAAATAAAACATGTGATTGGAATTTCTTCCATTTGTTTTGATTTTCTGTTTACATTTTGTTGTTATTTCGTCACCATCATGGCAACCCATATGGTCCATGTTAATTTTTTGAAGTTTTCAAATTAATTTTTTGTTCTTATTTGTTAGCCTATTTTAATTTTTAAAAGCATTCTGCACATCTACAGGAAAATATCTTTCCAACAGTATGCGTAGATTTTCCCTGCGATGCACACGAGCTGAGAAAAAAGGTTTTAAAGAAACATGCTTGCCTATTAATATATAGATAGATAGATAGATGGTCGTTATGTAAACAAATCTGAAGGGGCAGAGCCCCAAGGGAATTTACCTCGTTCCTCTTTTGATGGCTCGTCTACAGACCAAGACCTTTCTTTAGATACCTCTACCAAGTTTCTACGCCCAGCCGTTCTCTCAAATTAGCTATGACAAAAACCCCATTTTCCTCCATAAGAATAACATGGGATAGGAATTTAAAGGCCACTGGGGCAGAGCCCCAAGGGAATTCACCAAGTTTCTCTTTTGATGGCTCATCTACAGACCAAGACCTTTCTTTAGACACCTCTACCGAGTTTCTACACCCAGCCGTTCTCTCAAAATAGCTATGACAAAGAAAAACAGTTTCAAATTAATATATAGATTAATAAAACTATTGATTGATTGAGTTAAGCAAACACCTGTTTTTAATAAGGTAATAAATTGAAAGAGTAGTTAACCAATAAGTACGCTGAGGTATTTTCAACATATTTATATATATATACTAGGTATGTTTTAACTAGGTATATGGAAAGTCCCCTTTAGAAAGGAATTATGACCTTAAAGGGCAATTTACGAAATAATTGATAGTTTTGCGCAAGGTTTCTCGTCATGACGATCCTTTTAAGTATATGGTTTATGGGGGTGTGACTTGTAGTTTTCTCAAAAGTTCATGGGTACTTTGGGATTTATAAATGGATGTATTTATAACATCCAGTAGTTGTATTTAAATGTGTTCTTTGTATAATTTTAATTCGTTCATATTGATAACCGTAATAAATATCCTTAATTTAGCTATTTATTACATACTATCAGAGTACACGTACGGGATTGGCATATAAGTATAAAATGCTTTGCAGTTATGGGAGAGGACACGGTTGAACAAAACTTGGTTATTTTAATTTATACGGTATTCCTTAGTATAGCACATCTACCATAGCCATAATGGCCATTAAAATAAAAGTTCTCATTGTGTACCGCAGCTTTTTGTTGCTAGTCGGTTCAAATTAGCTGTTGTAATAAATGCAACAAAATAATTGAGCTGCACCCTGTTGGTAAACCTTATAACTGTTCAATTCTATTTCATATCATAGAACCAACTTCTGCAGTTGAAACAGCTGACAAATAGTATATTACGTTACTAGCCCTGAAAGTAAGTGTTTACCATACGAGTCCGGTACGCACATTTTGGACGAGTTACGTAAGATAGTTTACGCCATACTACTAAATCTGTACAAATCCTAATATATTACCACCAACTAAAGGACTAAAAATCACTACTCATAACCTCTAAGAGAGGTCATGTTTTTGTTTATAACCACTCAATGCCACCCAAATACAGTATAATCAGCAGATTGGTGTCCGGTAAAACTCATTACAGTAGGCCTACATTAGTACGCAATGAAACCCCATTTCATTAAGCGGCAAACAGCTGTTTTCTGGAGTAAATACTTGCGTGGGAAATTCGTCAAAATAGTGTAGTGTGGCGTAAATCCGTCAGCATAATCAACTGAGGTTTCATTACGTATTACTGTACTGTAATGAGTTTTGTTAGATTGTTATTACCGGTACCTGGGTATTATTGGTCTTAAAATAATATTGTATTTGAGTCGACAATTTGGTTTGAACACTTTTAGAATTTAAATCTAAGTTTATAACAACGCGTCTACATACAAGCATTGACTATTGGAGTATTAATAGTCAAAGATATAAGTCAATAGTTCAATGACCAGAGGGTTTGTGCAGTACATAAATATCACGAAAGTTACGTATCCCACATGCCCCGATTATTGTCGACCGTTAAACGTGATTTGCATTATAAAACTTTCTTCACTTATTTCATCAACACCTTGTCCTCCATTGTGACAAACAGAGGCAAGGTGACTGCAGGGGAATCAATCACTAACAGTTTAACTTGATTGTCCAATTTTACGGATAATGCAGAATTAAACGTTGTTAACATTTTGTTTAAGATTAAGAGTGCGGGTTTTCGATGGGGGTTGGATGGTTAAACACGTGTGTTGCCTTCTCTCCATTGAATGTAGGGGTTACAAGGAAGGGATATACTCGGGCATGTGGTAGTAGGGGTTCTAGGAGTGGCAACTCTTGACGATGGAAGTGGTTGCCATGACAGCACGTACAACATGTACAGTGTGTACACTCGCGACAAAGGAGCAAATGGTGTCGGACAGAGTAAAATTGTCCTATGAAAGGTTTGGCGTTTGGCTAATTATACCTTATTATGATTACTGTTACTACTTTAGAACCTTTTACTATAGGTTCTAGTTATTACCTTAGGAGAGCTTCATACTGTGTTTCGGTGTTTCAGTTTCACCAGACACTGCGGACCTATCTGCACGACCGCGTGTGGGACTTCCACTTCTACGTTAACACAGACTGGCCGGAACAGCCAGTTTGTCTCCACTTCCCTGGAATGACCCAAACGGTAAATACATATTATATTGTTAATTGTTCTACTATAAGTTTATAGTAAAAAAAAGATTTAGAATTGTTATCAGTCTTTTGAAAGGTATTTAATCTGTTTACCCTCCCATTAAACAACTCAATATTTTTCGTAATTTACCAAAAATACTTGATAGAGTAATTTAATTACATAATGATTATTCATTCATTGGTTCCAAAGCAAGGTTCAGTTAGGAGATGTATGGTTTGATTGTACTTATTGCCAAACGCGTCGCTGAGGCTTGGGCGGGAAGGGCAAGACGTCGACTTGTATCCAATCATCCATACCAAACTACTTTTGAGGCGTGTCCAGGATTAAGCGCTACATGATTCTTCCATGTTGGCAGGTGAATCGGCAATCTGCCTGTGAACTTTATTCGGTCAGGACGCGCCTCGGGATAACATAGCCTGATGGAAATCACACAGAATGTACCTTTTACAACGACATTGAGGCAAACCATCTTACAATTATAAAATATCTGTAATAAAAATGACAGTCTATTGCAACTAGAAACTTTTGACCACCAAGCAAACCAAACTTGAGCATTATCGTCACAGTTATTATGTTATTATAAGTCACAGTTTATAGTCAGTTTAAGGTTTGTAGTAATTAACTGAGGTAATTCTGATATAGGAATGCAAATCGACTCTATTAAAATCCCTGGATTGAGTCCAGAAATCTGGATGTCGTTACGAAATATTGGAATGACTGAGGTTTAATTGTTTAAAGGATCGCTAGAGGACCCAAATAAATATCATATCCAAGAAATAATCAAATTTATGATTTTTAATTAAGTAATAGAATATCTTCAACTTAACTGATACAAACTATCAATAGCTCAAATTAAAGCTACCATAGTAGCACAAATATGTATTTTATAAATATTTTATGTATTCAAAGTTGTATTTAGTGGAACCTCGAATAAAATATATCTTCAATAATAGTTTGATATATTCAAATATATATTAAAATATTACCAAAAAGCAATGAAAAATATCAATTAAATATAAGTTTTGAATATATATAATAGATTCATAATATATATTGATAAAATAAGTATATAGTCTATAATATACATATTTAATATGTATATTTTTCTTATTAAATATTAAAAAAAATATGGGTTGAGAATATTTTAAATATATATATATATATAATATTTTTGAAAGTATATTATTTATTTAAAGTTATTATAAATATATTTTGAAACAAGTCAGATATTTTTATTAATAAAATAATAATATACCTTTGTAGAATATATATAATCTATTATAATTGGTAAATAAATTATTTGCATCTTTTTGTTTTTATAGTGTCTATCAATTTATGCATGCATTTTTTGTACGATAATTGCTATTGTGAAAGCGTTAAAATTAAGTAAATAATAACATACTCACTCTATCATGCACATAAAGAAAAAAATACGCATATAGTTAAGAGGCAGTATACATGTTCGACAGCTACATGTGGGTCAAACGAAAAAAGTGTTGATGGGTTTTATTTTTTTAATTACAATATGTGACAATGAATGTGATCATAGAAATCTCGAATGATTGGCTAGAAAAGGGTGCTAGTGACTGGCGACCTTTTAAGAAACTAATTACGGTTGTATATGAGTTCTAAAAATAAGTTTTTGATTTACTTATGTCATAAATTACATAATATTTGTCATAGTGTGTAAATTAATTTTTGTAGTTTACTGTATTTGTATCGTGGGGACTACCACAGCCAGAGGTGGCTGTGGGACTACTCACTATTCACTACAGCACTATTCCACTCAACCAACTACTTGATGCCAAAACAGAATCATATGACACTGTAGTATCAAAAATATTCTTTCACCAATTGAAGACTATGTCACAGATAGCTCAGAGGTAAGGTAAGAGCGAAGGACCCAGGTTCGAGACCCATCCGGGCCAATAAAATTGTATCTAGTTTTTTTTAATTTGTTCTTATGAACTGTTTAATCAATTTACTCAACTGATAATTATGCATGTTGGTTGTTCACATTGTATTTGCTTAAAACTCGTCCGATTTGAATAACTGCTTAAATAAAAGCCGGTATTTTACTTCATACTTCATACTTCATACTTTTCTCTTCATTGTTGACCAGTATAACTGGATAGATGGCGTCAATACTATTTACACAAAACATATATTTACAGCAAAAAAAACTTTGAGAAATTTAATTCTTAGATCTTGATTAAAATTTGGCGGCAGGTCACTTCATTTTATTGAGGAGTGGTCGGCTTCTAGATACTCATTAAGTGTGTAGAAGGGGTTGTTTTTAAGCCAAGTCCCAATTTTATTTTCAAACGTCCTTGGTTCTAGTTCTTTGACGGCAGCCGGGAGTAGGTTGAAAAATTTCATAGCCAGGACAGGGTAGCAGTCTTTCTTTTTGGTAAGTCTACAGAAAGGTAGGTCAATGTGTTTCTTCCTTCTGGTATTATAACTATGCTGGTCTGCTCGTATTGGTAGCGTTGGTAAATTTCGATGAATGTGAAGAAGACTGACTAAGATATAGTGGTTGAAGATTGTAAATATGCTTAATTTCTTGAATATGGGCTTGCAGTGCTCTTCATCATTGGCGGAGTCTATTATTCGGAGAGCTTTCTTCTGTAGGACTAGGATTTTAGTGCAGGTTGAGGCATGGCCCCACAGCTCAAGACCATAGATGATGTGGCTATGAAACAGTGACAAGTAGACTGTAACAAGAAAATCCTTGGAGACAAGTCGTTTCAGCCTACGTATGAGACAGATCACACGGTTTAGTTTTTTGCAGATGTAGTTAACATGCTTCTCCCAAGTTAGTTTCGGATCTATTTGGAAGCCAAGGAGCTTCACCTCATCTGTTTCATTATGGTATTTTGAAAGACTGCATACTATCTTTTGAGTTTTACCTTCATTTAGGCTTAGGCTACTCTTGTCGAACCATGATTTTACGGCAACAAGCTTCGCCTCTGCTATTGTCAAGGCTGTCTCTGGATCATGGCCGCTAGTGTAAATGGAGGTATCATCTGCAAATAGTAGGATGTTTCCCAGTAGGCCTAGGTCATTTATAATGATCAGAAACAGCACAGGCCCAACCACCGAGCCCTGTGGCACACCGTGAAATACCTCAAGTGGCTCAGAATTTGCCCCATCGATTGTGAGAATTTGCTTTCTATTATGGAGGTAGGTACGAAACGTTTCTAGAACTTCTCCCTCTACTCCATATGCCGAGAGCTTTTGTATCAGCAGGCCATGCGGGACGCAATCAAACGCCTTGCTTAAATCAACCAATGCCAAGGCTGTGGATTCTTGAGACTCAAAGGAGTCTAGAATGTTTTCGACCAGTTGAAGGACAGCAGAAACTGTGGATTTACCACGACGGAACCCGTGCTGGGCATCAAGAAAGAGATGATTTTTTTCAAAGTGATAGACTATCTGGTTTTTCATTACAGTTTCAAAGATCTTTGCCAGGACAGGTATAATCGATATAGGCCTATAGCTTTTCATGGCCGTGGGATTACCTTGTAAACTGGGACAGTGCGAGCCACCTTTAGTTTGTCTGGAAAATAACCTTTCTCAAGGCATACATTGATGACATGACACAAAGGATGTACAATAACTTCTATAATCTTTTTTAAAAGCTCTACAGATATACCATAGATATCCCGGCTCTGTTTCTTCTTAAACCTAGTCACAATGCCGATAATTTCACTGGGTGTCACCCTTCGCCAGTGCCTAAAGGGAGTCACGTCATTGGATATGTGATAGATAGGCCTACACAGTTCTTCCGGACTCACATTATCTTTGGGGATTTCATCAATAATGTTTTGTACTTCACTTATAAGATAACTGTTAAACTGGTCTGGACTTTCCCTAAATTTTGGTCTTGATTTACCTTTGTTGGAGCCACCAATCTGATTTACGATGTTCCAAGCAGCCTTACAACTATTTGTTGAATTTACAATAAGCGACATGTTAGCTTCTTTCTTGGCCAGATCTACCTCACGCCTATAGATTTGTTTCACTCTTAAATAACTAGCGTGGAATCTGATTTTATCATTTCCATCCGTGGATGCTTTACTTCGGTCATTAAGAGCAAGCACAAGGGATCTAAGCTGGGCGAGTCTTGGAGAGAACCAATCCTTATTGACCGTCTGCTGCCGAGGTTTCACTTGCCTATCCATAGGTACTGTTTTTTTTGGGAATAACTCATCAAAAACAGATAAGAACTTATCAAAGAAAGAGTTAAACAAATGATCAGGGGTTGCATTTACAGTGGGATTTTCTATAATGGCTCTCCAGTCAACAACGGCCAAGGCTAGCTTAAATTGTGTAATAGAATCTTCCTTAATTATCCTAAAAGTACAAGTATAGTTACTATGCCAATCTAAATCTAGACTTTGGTCACTCACCAAACTGCAGTCAGCATCGAGGTTCAGGTCCATAGTAACAGCATCATGGTCCGCCACAACAGGATTTACAACGGTGACAGTGTAGTCCCATGAATTTAACGAGGTGGCAATAGTGTCCAAGCAATACATCCCTCGAGTAGGAGCGTGGTTGGTTATGTACATACCAAAACTCTGGAGAATGTGTCTGAAGGCAAAACACAAGTTGTCCTCCACGTTTAAATGAATATTCACATCGCCCCCCAAAATTATCGGCATATTCAGTCTACTTAAGTACGTTAGACAGTGATCCAATTTTTGGAAGAAAACATCTGTCATGCCATCCGGAGATCTATAAAGCGATACCACTATGATTGAATATTTTAGTAAAATAACTCCTGACAACTCTATATCCAATTCATTACAGAAATTTGCAAGGTCCAATGGTTTGTGAGCAAGACTTGGCTTCAAGTACACTGATGTTCCGCCATTTTTATGATTAGAGCGATAATATGCAGAGGCTAGCTTAAGGGTATCAATATTGGCAAAATAATTTCCTTCATCACTATTTAGGTGGTGCTCACATAAGCATAGCACATCTGG